ACTTTAAACCATAAACCATTTAAACAATTCAAATTTTAGTTTATAGGAGTTATTCCCTGAAACAATATGCAATAAATTGCTCCTCAATGCTTTGGTATCTTGTTCATTATCTGTCATTATATATTAAACTTACCTGCTATCAATATGTATCTACATAGAATCATAAATCTCTAAACTGTAGGCAGTGTGTCATTTGACTGAGGTCAGGCCACTGAGCTTAGTGTTGCAGTCTGTTATATGATGCAGATAGGATCACAGATAATTACAATCAAATAAAATGTAGATCACTAGCCACGAATAGGCACTCAGAATTTTCTGAATGAATAAATGCCACATTAGAAATAAAGTCTGTTTTGTACAACTGTCAGTGGACCTGTCTGAATATCAAGAAACATTTGTGTTCCTATAGTGAAAGGCGAAGTTCAGTGAACAAGTACGCGGGTTTGGGAGCTAGACTAGTTGAGTTCATATCTTGGCACCTCATATGCCTTAGTTACCACATCTATAAAACATGGACAGAGTTGTTGCAAGGAGTAAATGAGTTAATACATGTAAGTTCCTGTCACACAGTATGTGTTTTAGCTAGCATAAAATTATTAAATAGTAAGAGACAGTTGTTCAAGCAGAACAAGGAGATACTGTGTTTTAAAATTAGGAAAGCTGTGAATCTGGTTGTATACTTTCACCATACTTATCCACATTATGTATGTGGAATACATAATCTGAGAAACTAGACCATATGAAGACTGGGACTGGATAAAGAATCATTACTAAGCTGCAATATACCGATGATGAAACCTTGCCTGCTGATAGCGAAGACTTGAAGCACTTTTGGATCAAGAACAAAGATTAAAGCCTTCAGTATGAAATACAGCATAAAAAAAAAAACAAACATTAAAAACCTCAATAGACCAATAAGAAACATCACGATAAACAGAAATGACTGGCATCAAGGATTTCATTTTGTATGAATGCTCAATGTCCACTAAAACAGCAGTCAAGAAATCAAATGATGTATTGCATGAGGCAAACCTGAAAAATACATCTTTAAAGTGTTTAAGAGCAAAGATAGCACTCTGAGGACTAAGACATGAATGACCCAAGCCAGTGCATTATCAGTCACCTTATATGTCGGTGAAAGGTGGACAATGAATATCAAGGATTGAAGCAAAATTGCTGCATGTGAATGTTGGTGAAGAATGTTGTATATATCATGAACTGCAAGAAGAACAACAGAAGAACAATAAAAAAAAATCTGTCTTGAAACACAGCCAGCATGTCTTTGGAAATAAGGATGGTGAGACTTTGTCTCTTGTACTTCAGACACATTATCAGGAGGGACCAGTCCCTGGAGAAGGACATCATGCTTGGTAGAGAGTCAACGAAAAAGAGGAAGACTCTCACCAGATGGACTGTAACAGTGGTTGCAACACATAGGAACTGACTGTAAGGATGGTCAAAGATCAGACAGTGTTTTGTTCAGTTGTACATGGGGTTGCCATGAATTGGAACCGACTCAATGGCACCTAACAAAACAAATATACAATCTCCCCCATCTATCTGTATGTTTAGGTTCAAATGTTTAATTAAAATATAAATATATATATTAAATTTCTGTAAACACTAAGTTGAATCACAAGATACCATCTTTATAAGGTTAGTCTTTCAAATACTAGCATTTTTCTATTGTTCAACCTAGTAAAATCTTTTTAGTTAATTTTGGTTACACTTGACAGAAAGCTCTCTAGAGATTTATGTAAGAGAGAGAGAGAATTAGATTTTCTGTACAAGAGCAGATAATGAAAGAATTCTGCCTCCAAAGCATCTTTGAAGAGCACAAAATTCAACTTCATGTAGCTAGTAAAAAGAACGATAAATTAAACATCTAGGAGAGAAACATAAGATAAATATTTCCAAGAGAATAACTAGGTATATTTTATAAATTTTAAAAACACCTTGGTTGCCTCTCTTCCCCTTGTGCATAATTACAGGTATTGTCTATGAAAGCTGTCCTTCTCTTCTCCCAAAGAGGACAGTTATTCTACATATACTCTTAGACATTAAACTCATTACTTTGAAGTTTTTTTAAAAAGTATTTTATATATTTTATAGCCATCAACTTGTAAAGGAACACAATGAACTTAATGCTACTCAAATTTTTCCTTAATAATAATAATCAAAGGAATTCTTGGTCAATTTTACATAACACTTACCTATCAGGTTAAAAAAAAAAAAAAATGCTTTGTTGAAGGCTCTGTACCATAAAAAAAGATACCTGAGGGGCACCAAAAAGTTAATGAAAATTTCATTGTCTTTTCATTGCATTTTCCACAGACTTTTTTGAAACCTTCTTAAATATTCTATCATTGTTGTTGTTAGGTGCCATCAAGTCGGTACCGACCCATAGCGACCTTATGCAGCACAGCAGAATGAAACACTGCCTGATCCTGGGCCAACCTCACTACTTTTGCCACACTTGAGTCTATCGATGGTGCCACTTGGCCAGTCCATCTTGTTGGGGGGTCTTCTTGCTTTAAGACACAATATTAATTCAATAAGAAAACATTTCATGTTTCTTTTATCATGCAGACTATTCGTTTAGTTAATTCATTTCTACATCAAGTTATGCAGCTGTACACAGCTATTTTCCCTAGTCATGCAAAGGTTAGAGTTTTTGTAAAACAGAGCAAGAACTTTATTAGCAGAGTCCAAGTCAGTTCTAATGGTTTCAAGTCAGGGTTTGGATTCACCAAGGAAGTGCATGCTCACACCCCAACCTAACGTTTGGTATTTCTTTTCCCCAAAATAATTTTTTTCCAAAAAAAAATCATTTTTTTCCCAAAAATGATTCAGTTCATCACTATCTTCCATGAATGAATCCTTATACAACAGGCAGATAAATTATTTCCAATGTGCCTACAAATAAATGCAGCCCCTTTCAGTGTGGAGAGCAGCTGAAGCCTAATGGCACCCTGGCAGCCTTCTGGTGCTGCTTCTAGCGAACGTAACTACCCTCATTCCAGTTCATACAGAAAGTGCTCATCCTGCCTATACACGTCCCCTAAAAGACCATTTTAATGAGTTAGAATTAAATAAAGTTAGGGCATAAGAATGAAAGAATACTCCTAAAAAAGGCAAGAAGTATACGTGAAAACTACTTCCTGTAATCTTACCCACATTATTGCAAAGATAATTTTTAGAATGTAAAAATACAATAAATACTATAATGGAAATATAGGGATTCATTTATTCCTTTTTGGTTTACAAACAAAGGCACCCAATAATACTTCTATTTAATTCTTATAAAAGATTATCAATTTACATTTAAAACAAACAAAACTCCCAAACCAGTTCCTGCAGACAAAACACAAAACAGGGAGAAATAAGACTTTTTCCTCCCTGCTTCCAAGTTTTATTACACATATTCAAAAACTGTTCATTTTATACCATCCTTAAAGTCAAAGAGCACATTGCCGTCCTTCTCTGTATTGAGTTTCAGGACATATTAATGGTGCCAAGTCCAAGTTAAATGTAGTCACAATGACCGCACAATGACAGATGCATATGCCAGAATTATAAGAGTTAATAATGAAGGGAGGGAAAACGCTCAACGTTTTAGAATATAGCTTTAACAAATGAGTTAGGACCAACAGTCTATATTCTTTATAATAGTTTTAGAACTTTAAGTTCTAGAATGATAGTTATGTACTCATTAGCTTTCTTTTGACAACAGAATAAACAAACAAGCATATACAAAATCAATGTAGTGGCCTCAGCATCTTCCCAGTTGGCATTTCTCAAAAAAAATTAGAATATAATAATAATACAGTTCAGAAGACCTATACCCCTAAACACTTCACAAACCTACCAAAGTTGTACCTGATTCTTCTGCAAGATACAAAGACAACTCAATTGATTCTAGGAATATTTGGCAGAGGTATAAAAAACATACAAATATGAGCATATTTTCAACACATTATGGAAATATATTTGGAGAGATGGAGGAATCAGTGTGTAGAGTGTCTGTGCTTAACTATATGGGCTATTTTAAATCAAAGGCATCATCATTTATTCCATTTTTAAACATTCTCATAGTCTCTCACACCTTATACAAGGTATGGTCCTAGACCAGAGACTTCAGTATCATTTCAAAGAATATGTGTGTATATATACACAAACACACACACATATTCTTTTAAAATGTTTAAAAGTTACTACAGAAAATCTGGCTTCAACATGGAAGCATTTTTCCTTTTCAAGATCATATACTTGCAAGAAGGTAATTTCCTTTACATTTTGTTTTTTCACAGTAACAAAATAAACTTTTTATACACTGCATTTAGATTGACAAAGAAAATTCAGATGTAAAATTCTATGTAATTTTTTGTGTTGTGAACTTATATTTTTGTGTTGTTTAAATATATTCAAGATATACTGCTGCTGATTTCAATATAGCACAACTTGATCAGTTTAATTAGAACAATAGTATGCTGAATAATTTGTTAAACCAAATGTAGGATAAAACAATGAGTAGAATTAACAATTACGATTTAAAGGGAATTATAACGTTTCATTAAAATATACATCCATTTTCTTGTTGTTAATTTTTATAATGAATTTCTTTCTAAAGCTAAAACCACATGCAGAAAAAAATAGATGGTATCTTCAAATCCATCCAAAAGTTTGCTAACTTTATGTGGCATGTAAATAAAGTCTTTAATTTTATACACATTTTATTCTTCTTGAAAGAATTCAGCTTTCAAGATCAAAAATCAGTATGTGTTTAGACACATGTGAGAGCATTTTATTAATGTTACTACTACCTGCAAATATATTCTTCCATCGTAATGCATTTTCAATTTTTACTGGAAAGACATTACAAGTCTTTGTAAAGTCCTATGAACAAAATTCATAAAGAACAGTGAGCAAAGGTATGGTAAATCCCTTCCTGCCACTCAAACAAAAGCTCAAGAAATCCTCCAGCTGCAAAGCATGAACAAAATCTCACAGGATTGATTTTCATTTGATCATAATATGGACCAGAAAAATTTCTATCATTTAAAAATATTATAGTTTTGTTAAATGTGCTCTCACATTCCTTCAAAAAACACATTGTTTCTGTTGCTATGGATTCTCAAATATGTTTATATCCAGTATGGTTTTAAGACTATATAGCCTTTCTGATTATGAAAGCAACGGATTGCTTATAAAAAATAATCTGCATCAGACCCTTAATCAGGGAAAAAAAAATTGAGAACATGTCTTTCATTTCTGAGACTACTCAATAACAGGATGATACAGAAATAGTTTAGACATAATTTTAACAAAACTAAAACCCATTTCAGTTTATTAAAAAAATAATAATAATAATTGAAGAATCAAGTATCTTCCAACTTAACTAGTATTCTAGTATTCCTGTCCAAATAGATGCTTTCCACTGCAAAGAATATTAGAATTAGAAATTCACTATATGTTTAAGGCATATTTTAATTAATTGTTCCAGAATTGCACAGTTATACTGGTCAATGTTCCTGTTTTCCCACTTCTACCCTCATCCCACCCCGGTCTCCCAGGGATCAAAATGTTAAAAGTTACGGTATTGGTGGCTAATACAGATTTGGGCTGGCATACCACAGTGTGTTCACTAGGATTTTATGATCATAAACATTTAAATGTTACATAAAATGTACCATAATTTACTCCACATTTGATCTAAGAATGGTTTAATGTCTTGACAAAAGGTGACATGACTTAAGTACATTTTACATTTTGCGCATTTAGACCACCATATGCATAGATGTTCTAATGCTAAATTATTTTCTTCAGTATCTCATAGTGCTGGATGCTCGGAAGTATGACAAAAACTTGTAACACAGACTAACAACAAAGTACCAGATGTTTCTTGCCATCTGTGATCTTGCAATAAAAATGCGCCAGATCAGGATCACAAGTATAGTATTGAAACCATAACGTATATTCCTCAACCTGGAAAGCAAATAAAGACACATCAAACAATTATTTTCTAGAAAATTATATTGTTGTATGGCAGCTAATTAATGCTAAATTTTTAATCTAATCGAGTTCAAATCTATATAAATTTTAATCTTATTTGAAAATTAAGCTAAAATTCCCTAAGTTATACATTGGCAAAACCAGACAAATCTGATTACACATTACCTAGATTAACAATGAAATTCCTAGTCTTTCATAATAGTATATTTGGGGTGTAAATTAATTCACTCAACGTATTAATGAACCTCCTTTGTATGCCCAAGAAGCTCTGGTGATGCAGTAGATTAAGTGTTGGGTTACTAACTGTAAAGTTAGCAGTTCACACCTACCAGCTGTCCCATGGAGGAAAGATGAGCCTGTCTTCTCCCATAAAGATTTATAATTCTGGGAACCCAAAGGAGCAATTCCACTCTGTCCTATAAGGTAGCTATGAATTATAATCAACTAGATAGCAGTGAGTTTATGGTTGCTTTTGTATACCCAGTTCTGTGACTCTTCTTGTTCTCAGGTGATTCTGTAGCCGGTTTCGACCCACAGTGACCCTATGCACAACAGAAGTAAACACTGTACTGTGGTCTCACAATTGTTGTTATGCTTGAGCCCGTTGCTGCTGCCACTGTGCTGATCCATCTCACTGGATGTCTTTCTCTTTTTTGCTGACCCTTCAATTTATCAAACATGATGTTGTTGTCCTTCTTTAAGAACCGGTCCCTCCTGACAACATGTGCAAAGTATGAGAGACCAAGTCTGGCCATCCTAACTTCTAAGGAATATTCTGGCTGTACTTCTTCCAACACAGATTTGCTTGTTCTTTTGGTGGTCCATGGCACTTTTAATATTCTCCTCTAACACCGTAACTCAAATGCATCAATTCTACAGTCATCTTTATTCATTGTCCAACTTTGACATGCATATGAGGTTATTGGAAATACTGTGGCTTGGGTCAAGCGTACCTTAGTTATCAAACTGACATCTTTGCCTAATGCAATATGTCATCTGACTTCTTGACTGCTGCTTCCATGAGTGTTAATAGTGGTTCCAAACAAAATGAAGTCTTTGACAACTTATACCAGTTGTAACCCACACTGAAGGTTGTGGTGTTTGATCTTCATCAGTAAGCATTTTAAGTCCTCTTCACTTTCAGCAAGCAAGGGTGTATCATCTGCATACCACAGGTTGTTAATGAGTCTTCCTCCAATCCCAATGCCATGTTCTTGTTCATATAATTCACTTTTTCAGATTATCTGTTCTGCATACAGACTGAAAAAGTACATGACTCCGGATTTTAAACCATTCAGTGGTCCCCTCTTCTGTTCGAAAAACTGCCTCTTGGTCTATGTACAGGTTCCTCATGAGCACAATTAGGTGTTATGGAATAAACCATTCTTCGAAATGTTATCCATAGCTTGCCATGATCCACACAGTTTAACACCTCTGCATTGTCAGTAAAGCACAGGCAAACATCCTTCTGGTATTCTCTGCTTTCAGCCAAAATCAATCTGACATTTACAGCCATTTTTAAATTATCGTCAGAAAAATTTTAATTGTATGTGATATTAATGATATTCAAATTCCGCTGGGTTACCTCTCTTAGGAAAGGTCATAAATATGAATCTCTTAAAATTAATTGGCCAAGTAGCCGTCTTCCAAATTTCTTGGCATAGATGAGTGAGTACCTCTAGTGCTGCATCAGTTTGTTAAAAGATTCCAATTTGTATTCTATAAGTTCCTGGACCCTTCATCTAGTGCTGCATCAGTTTGTTAAAAGATTCCAATTTGTATTCTATAAGTTCCTGGACCCTTCATCTTTGCCAATGCGTTCAATGCAGCTTGGATTGCTTCCTTCAGTGCCATTGGCTCTTGACCATATGCTACCTCTTGGAACGGCTGAACATGTACCATTTCTTTTTGGTAAAGTGACTCTGTATTTCTGTCATCTTCTTTTGATGCTTTCTGCATCATTCAATAATTTGCCCATAGATTCCTCCTTCAATATTTTAGTCAAGGCTTCAATTTTTTCTGCAGTTCTTTAAGCTTGAGAAATTCTGCACATATTCTTACCTTTGGGTTACCTAACTCTAGATCTTTGTATATTTAATTATAATACTTGACTTTGTCTTCTCAAGCTGCCCTTTAAAATTTTCTGTTCAGCAACTTTAACGTCATCGTTTCTTCCATTTGCTTTAGCATTTCTACGCTGGAGAACAAGTTTCAGAGTTTCTTCTGACATCCATTTTGGTCTTTTCTTCCTTTCCAGTCTTTTTAATAACCTTTTGCTTTCTTCTTATATGTTCTTAATGTCATCCCATAACTCTTCTAGTCTTCTTCGCTCGTTAGCGTCTAATTCATCAAAACTGTTCTTAAGAATGGTCTCTAAATTCAGGTGGGATATGTTCTAGGACATATTTTGGCACTCATGGACTTGTTTTAATGGTCTGTTCCACAGTCAGCCTATGGCCTTGTTTTGACTGATGATATTGAGCTTTTCTACTGTCTCTTTCCACAGATGTAGTTAACTTGATATTTGTGTATTTCACAAATACACATGGACTGGTGAAGTCCATGTGCACAGTCATCTTTATGTTGTTGAAAAGCGTTATTTGTAAAGAGTAAGTCATTGGTTTTACAAAATTCTATCATGTGATCTCTAGCATCATTTCTATCACCAAGGCCATATTTTCCAACTACTGATCCTTCTTCTTTGTTTCCAACCTTTGCATTCCAAGCACCATTAATGATTAATGCATTTCGATTGCATGTTTGATCAATTACAGATTGAGGAGGTTGACAGAATTCTTCCATTTTATCCTCACTGGCTTTAGTGGTTGGTGTATAAATTTAAATAGTGCTATTAATTTGTCTTCCTTGTAGGTATATGGATATTATCCTATCACAGACAGCATTATACTTCAAGACACATCTTGAAACATTCTTTTTGATAATGAATGTGATACCATTCCACTTGAATTTGTCATTCCTGGCATAGTAAACGGTATGATTTTCAGTTTCAAAATGGTCAAGTTCATTTCAGCTTACTAATGCCTAGAATATCAATCTTTAGGGGTTCCATATCATTTCAGACAACTTCCAATTTGCCTAGTTTCACACTTCATACATTCCATGTTCTGACTCTGCTTCTTATTTTGAATTGCGCTGAAAGCTTTATTTCATTTATGTCATCATGGACAACTCTACTTTGAAGAGGCTGTTCTTTCCCAACAAGCATTTTGAGCCCAAACTGAGGGGCTCATCTTCAAGCACTAGATATGACAATATTCTGCTGCTATGTTTCACCACCACTTGTCTGTCAGTTTATTGTACTGTGGTGGCTTGTGAGTTGCTGTTATTCTGGAAGCTATGCAACAAGTATTTTAAATACCAGCAGGCTCACGGTGGACAGATTTCAGATGAGTGTCCAGACAAAGACAGACAAGGAAGAAGGAGAGACGAACTACTTCCAAATATTTAGTCACTGAAAACCTTATGAATGGCAGAGAACAACTGTCAGATATAGTGCTGATAAATGAGCCCCTCAGGTTGGAAGGCACTCAAAATGCGACTGGGGAAGAGCTGACTGTGATGACGGGAATGGAGTAAAGTCCTTGGGTGTAAAGCCCTCAGGACCTTCATTTACTAATGTGGCACAACTCAAAATGAAGAGAAATAGCTGTAAACATCCATTAATAATAGGAAGATGGCACGTATGAAGTAGGAATCTGGAAAAATTGGAAATGGTCAAAAATGAATTGGAATGCATAAACATCAATATCTTAGCTATTAGTGAGCTGAAATGGACTGGTATTGGCCATAAATTTTAAGTCTGACAACGACATGATTTACTATGCCAGGAATGCCAAATTAAAGAGGAATGGTGTTGCATTCATCATCAAAAAGAACATATCAAGATCAGTCATGATGTACAATGCAGTCTGTAATGGGATAATATCCATGTGCCTAAAGGAAAGACCAGCTAATACCACTATTATTCAAATTACATACCAAGCACTAAAGCCAATGAGGATGAAATAGAAGAATTCTACCAACTTCTTTAATCTGAAATTGATCAAAGATGCATTCAAGATGTATTAATCATTACTGGTGATTGGAATGCAAAGGTTGGAAATGAAGAGGAAGGATTAGTAGCTGGAAAATATGGCCTTGGTGATAGAAATGATGCTGGAGATTGCATTATAGAATTCTGCAAAACCAATGATTTGTTCATTTCAAATATCTTCTTTAGAAAGCAAAGGAGACAATTATACACATGGACCTCACCAGATGGAATACACAGAAATCAAATTGACTACATCTGTGGAAAGAGACAGTGGAAAACCTCCGTATCATCAGCCAAAGTAAGGCAAGGGGCAGACTATGAAAGAGACCATCAATTGCTCATATGCAATTCAGACTGAAGCTTAAGAAAATAAAAACAAGTCCATGAGAGCCAAAATATGACCTTGAATATATCCCACCTGAACTTGGAAATCATCTGAAGAACAGATTTGATAACATTAAACACTAAAGACCGAAGACCAGAAGAGTTGTGGTATGACAACAAGAATATAATACATGAAGAAAGCAAAACGTCAGTAAGAAGACAAGAAGGAATAGACCAAAATGAATGTCAGACGAGACACTGAAACTTGCTATTCAGCATAGAGATGCTAAAGCAAATGGAAGAAATGAGAAGGTCCAAGAGCTGAACAAGAAAATTTCAAAGGTCAGCTTGAGAAGACAAGGTCAAATATTACAACAAAATGTGCAAAGATAAGGAGTCAGAAAACCAAAAGGAAAGAACATGCTCAGCATTTCTCAAGCTGGAGGAACTGAAGAAAAAAATTCAAGACTCGACTTTTGTTATTGAAGGATTCTCTGGGAAAATAATGGAATGATGCAGAAAGCATCAAAAGAAGATGGAAGGAATACACAGAATCACTGTACCAAAAGAAAATGGTTGATGTTCAACCATTTCAAGAGGTAGCATATGATCAAGAGCCAATGATACTGAAGGAAGAAGTCTAAGTAAAGTGCACTGAAGGAACTGGCAGAGAACAAGGCACCTGGAATTGATGGAATCAAAACTGAAATCTTTCAAGACAGTGAGGTGGCACTAGAGGCACTCACTCATCTCTGCCAAGAAATTTGGAAGATAACTATCTGGCCGACTGATTGGAAGAGATCCGTATTTGTGCACATTCCAGAGACAGGTGGATATCATCGGACAACCTCTTTGATAGCCCATGTGAGTAGTTTTATTTAAAGGTAATACATAAGCAGCTCCAGGCATACATTGACAGAGAATGTCCAGAGATTCAAGTCGGATTCAAAGAGGATGTGGAATGAGGGATATCACTGCTAATGTCTGATGGATCTTGGCTGAAATCAGAGAGTATCAGACATATGTTTACCTGTGCTTTACTGACTACACAAAGCTTTCAATTGTGTGGATCATGACAAGCTATAGACAACATTGCGTAGTATCAGTATTTCGGAACATTTAATTGTGCTCATGAGGAATCTGTACATGGACCAAGAGGCAGTTGTTCGAACAGAACATGGGAACACTGAATGGTTTAAAATTACGAAAGGTGTGCAACAAGGTTGTATTCTTTCACCATACTTATTCAACCTGTATGCTGAGCAAATAATCTGAGAAGCTGGGTTACATGAAGAAAAACTTGGCATTAGCAACCTGAGATATGCAGATGATACAACCCTGCTGGCTGAAAGTGAAGAAGACTAAAAATACTTACTGATGAAGATCAAAGAGCACAGCCTTCGGTATGGACTGCATCTCAATGTAAAGGGAAAAAAAATTCTCACCACTGGAACAATAAACAACATTCTTATCAATGGAAAAAGATTGAAGTTGTCAAGGACTTCATTCTTCTTGGATCAACAACTATCAACCCTCATGGAAGCAGCAGTCAAGAAAACAAACAACATATTGCATTAGGCATATCTGCTGCCTAAGACTTTTGTAAAGTGTTGAAGAGCAAAGGTGTCAGCTTGAGGACTAAGGTGCACCAGACTCAAGCCATGGTATTATCAATACCTTCATACGCATGCAAAAGCTGGACAGTGAATAAAGAAGATCATACAAGAATTGATGCTTTTGAGTTATGGTGTTGGAGGAGAATATATTGAAAGTACTATGGAGACTGCCAAAAGAACAAACAGATCTGTGTTGGAAGAAATGTAGCCAGAGTGCTCCTTGGAGGCCAGGATGGCCAAACTTCGTCTCTCATACTTCGGACATATTGTCAGGAGTGACAAGTGACTGGAGAAGGATATCATGTTTGGTAAGGTGGAGGGTCAGAGAAAAAGAGCAAGACCACGAGTGAGATGGATTGGCAAAGTGCTAGCATCAATGGGCTCAAGCGTGGCAACAATTGTGAGGCTGGCCTACGGCTGGGCAGTGTTTCATTCTGTTGTACCTAGTCAGTACCTGCTTGATGGTACCTATCAACAACAACATAATGTTTCAATATTCAGTGTTCTGGTGTTATCTGACAGTGTTCCACCGCTATTCATAAGGTTTTCAGTGGCTAAACATTCAGAAGTCTGTCTCTCCTTCTTTCTAAATTGTCTTTGTCTGTAAGCTCAGCTGAAACCTGTCCACCCTGGGTGACCCTGCTAATAGTTAAAATCCCAGTGGCATAGCTTTCAGCATCACAGCAACACACAAGTCTACACAGTGGGACACACTAACAAATGAGTGTTGGAGTATTGTGATAAGCATCATGTATCCTGTAGGTAAAAACAGATGTCCTTGAAATTCTGGGGCTTCCTATCTAATATGAAGTTTGTTTTTTTATATACATCTTAACACAAAGTACAGTACAACATTTTTTGCATATTTAGCTTCTCAAAAGCTATCAGACAAGTGAAATACTCCTTTAGCAGACAGTGACATAATCAAAGTCCAACTGGACAAATCCTCATCCAAGAATGAAACATAGCATTACCTCTATAAAGCAGTACCTTCCTCTTCTCAAAGTAACACAATGTGCTTTGCTCATATTTTAAAACATTTTTGACGGTGTTTAAAGGCTTGTAAACTTTCAAGATACACAATAATGTTTCATAAATTCCATTAACTTTAGCAGGCAATGCAAGACTATACTATACAAACAATAAATATAGAAAAAACAGCTTTGAATTGGGAGTAAAAAAGTCAGTATTCTAACCTACATTGCCACTTATTATGATACCACATAGAAAATGTTAACTTCCTTAAACCTCAGTTTCCTCTTCTGTAAAACTGGCTTCCCTGCAAATTCTCAAGGAATTATGTAATATGGGAAAGAAGATAATAATGCAAAAGTAAACTGAATTAAAAACACTATACACGTCAGAAGGAGCTCTGGTAGCATAGTGGGTATGAGTTGGGCTGTTAATCTCACAATCAGCAGTTTAAAACTACCAGTGGTTCTGCAGGAGAAACATCAGGCTTTCTGCTCCCATGAAGATTTATAGCTTTAGAAACCCTATACAGGGTCGCTAAGTCAGAATCGACTCCACGGCACATAACCACTACCACCACCACTGCACACAAAAGAGAGACTACTATTAAAGTTAGCTTTTTGTTGAGAGCCATTGAGTCAGTTCCAACTCATACAGGTCCTGTATAGGATTTTCAAGGCTTTAAATCTTCATGGAAAAAAAAAATCTTTATGAGTGCAAGATGCCTCTACTTTCTCCTGTAGAGCTGCTGGCAGGATAGACCCAAAGGGCTTGTGGTTCACAGTCCAGTGCTTATTGGATTGTTGTTAAGTGCCATCAAGTCGATTCTGACTCACAAAAACCCTATAGAGGGTTTCCAAAGAGTAGCTGGTGGGTTTGAACTGCTGAGTCTGTGTTCGCAGTCCAGTGCTGATCCCACAGTACCACACCAGGAGTCCACTTATCCAATGGAGCTATTCTAAATAATGGATTTATTGATTTTTCAATAATCAGAATGCACAATTTCTTTTATAAAGAAATTAAAAGAATAGTAACTTTTATACACAAAATTAGAATTCTACAATGAATGATATATTGTTACCTCTCCTCCTCTTCCAAAAATATATCTGAATGTGGTAAAAAAAAAACACAAAAAAACAAACTAGATAAATTACCTGCAGTAAAAATATAAGGATACAGTGAGTTTAAAAGATAAGTTCCTATGAACTTCATGCTAAAAATGGTATATTTGATGAAGCTTTCAATCACCACACCAAATTATTTTTAAAAAAGTTATTTTATACTTCACAGCAAGATAAGAAGAAAATGAGTCCATGAACAACTTACTTGTTCAGATGTTTTCTAGCTGCAGGGAGTCCAGACATTTCTTCATTCAACACATATTTCTTAGTTCCCATACAGTAATTCTCTATATATTCTGCCCAGTGTAATTGCCGTACATCAATATTAAATGTCTACATTCACAAAAAATTGTCCGTTACTTTTCTAAATAATTTTTATCATAACAGAAGTTTCTATTTTTCCTATGGGCCAATTATAGAAGACATGATTGCAAAATGTTTAAAGATGACATTAACTTTTGAAATCTTAATGCTAGTCATAAGAATATTCTTATTCCTATTTCATACCTTCTGTTAAATAAAGGAATATTTGAGAAGATAATCTGAAAACTCATCAACATTTGAAGATGAGTGTGTGATATGTGAGAAAGAAACCTGCACTATTTTATTTTAAAAAAGGTAAAATCCCATTACCCAAATAGTCTCATTGCTCCTCACCATTTTATTCATCTCTAGTTCCTTTCTGTCTACAGTCTCACCTTTCTTCAGTATGTTCTATTTAACATACAGATTAATTTTCCTAAGAACAATTTTGATGTGAAAAGATGTGTTATGAAAACTGAGCAGTGAGTGACCAGACCATATGAGCAAGAGTAGATAAAGAAAAGAGAGCTTTACAGAAGTGCTACTTATAGCAAAGTAAGAGGGCTAGATACTACTCAGAGCTCCTCAGCTCTCGATCAGAAGAATTACTGTTAGGTGACAAGGCAATTATTCACTATATACTATCACATAACAGAAAAGAGCAAACAAAAATTGATACAATTAAGTAAATCATTCCAAGTATGAAAATCTAGTAACACCCACTAAATTGGAAGTTTTAATTAACTTAGAAATTATTATGAGAAGTTCATACCTCGGAGTAATTGAATTTCCAGAGAAAAAGTGAAAGAGAATGGGATATAAGCAATATCTAAGACAATGGCTGAAAAATTTACAAAATGACACATCGTTGTTGTTGTTAAGTGCCGTCAAGTCGGTTCCGACCCATAGCAACCCTGTACAGGGTTTCCGAGGCTGGAAATCTTTACGGGAGCAGAACGCCTCATCTTTCTCCCGCGGAGCGGCTGGTAGTTTCGAACTGCTGGCCTTAAGGTTCGCAGCCCGATTCGTAACCACTACGCTACCAGAGCTCCTTAAATGACACATTAGGCCCCACAAATTGAAAACAGACATCTAGGCATATGATAGTAAAATTGCTGAAAGAGGAAAATGTAAAGAGGTCTTCCAAGAGCTCAAAGAAAATAACAGCTTAGAATTCTATATTGGTAAAAATAACCTTTAAAAATTAAGCTATTGCCAGAAGAACAAAAACAGAGACACCTGACACCAGCAGATGACCCCCATAAATGGTACTCCTCAGGCAAAAGAAAAATGATCCCAGACTCAAGTTTGGAAAGACAGGAAAATACAATAGAGTAATACTAAAAGGGACAAATAGGCTGGCAAATGTAAGTGAAGAACTGACAGCACAGACTAATAATAAACACTTGTAAGATAATATATATATATATATATATATGCATATAATTAAATGTGTGACAATAGCAGACAGATGTTACACCTTGCATAAGACAATAAAAGGTTGAATTACCTTGAAGGAAGGATGCTGTACTCTCTAGAGTAAACTACTATAACAACAAAAAATTTAAAAAAATAAAAACATCCCAATGAAACCAATATTGAACATATAAACCAAACAAACAACCCACTGGTGTTGAGTCGACTCAGGCTCAGAGTGGACTCTACAGGACAGGGCAGAACTGACCACAGGGTTTCTAAGGCTACAATCTTTACAGAAGCGGACTGTTATATCTTTCTTGTAAGGAGCAGCTAGTGGGCTTAAACCACCAAGCTTCTGATTAGCAGTCACATGCCACCAGGACTCCTTATAGGATATATGTGCTGCTGCTGTTAAATACCATCCAACTCAGAAATCCTATGTAGCGTTTCCAAGAACTGCTGGTGGGTTTGAATCGCAACCTTGCAAAACCACTTAAAATACTGTGGAAAAATTCCACAAACTTAAGCCCCCTCATATTACATATAATTATGTTACACAGATGGCATCATGTAATATTATTTTTGCCTGATTTCTTTCATTGAACAGTATGTTGATGAGATAAACTAGGTTCTATTTAGCTGAGCTCATTTTCTTTAGTTTAGTATCTTCCTTTACATTAAGATATTAGTTTCCTAAAGTAGTCATATGAGCTCCTTTGAATCCACCTCTTCCCCAACACGGCATATTTTCATTGTAAATGTGTCACTTTGGTGGAGATGCAGTGGTATCTCAACTTGTTTTGTTTTTTTTCTTAAATGATTTATTGTGAATTATGTGGTAGTGTATACATGGGAGAACATTAGTTTTACAGTCATTCTATCGTATATCATCTCATTGCCATGGTTACAATCCCCGCCATGCAATCCTTCTCCCGTACCCCCAGGTCTTCAGCACACAGCCGCTCTCCCTCTCTTGGTCTAGAGTCTCCAGCTGCTCCATAGCTCCACATCATCATCTCTGGCTCCATTTCAGGCATTACTGCTTCTCTGGGTAGGGTCCCACTCTCTGCTCTTCTCCCTTGATGGTCCTATGGACCTCTGCTCCTAGACTGAAAAATCAATCACTCCCCTCCTTGCTATAAAACGTCCACCTTTACATTTCCAACCCTCACAGTCAGTCCTGATAACAATTATTCACTATTGTATCATAGGAGGCCCGTCTGCATTTCATTGCATCAGCCCTGCCTAATCAGATTGAATACTACTCACTGGAGATTCTACCTTCCTCCAGGCCCTCTGGGTCTAGGTTCCCTCTTGAAAGCTTGTAAGCCAGTCACTTCTTGCCTTTGTAGCC